GTAGGATAGAATTGAAATGCAGAGACCCGGAGAATCCAGTGCCTTAGGAGACAGGCTTTGTTACACCACTAACGTTGACTTTTCCCTGTCTCTTTGTGTTTGGATCAGTTTAGATCCCAATAGCATTCCTTAGCTGGGATTTTTATAGATTATTTTATATGTGCACGTGTTTTACCTGAATGCATACATGTATATATATGTACCACAGGCTTGTCTGGTGCCCCTGAAGGTCAAAGAGGAGGTTGGATCTCCTGGAGCTGATAATATGAATGGCGGGTGCTGTGAACTGACCTGGGTCCTCTGCAAGAGCAACAGCTGCTTTTAACCATGGAGCCATTCACCTGGGGTTTAAAAAGCATCTTTTGATGAAGAGACTGCTTGCAGAAGTGTGGACAAAGGCACTGGCAATACCTGCAAGCAATTATCACTGCTGGGCCCATGGAAATGGCAATCTTAGAGCCTAGAGCTACCCAAGGACAACCGTAATTATAGCGGATGGGTGATAGTGCCAAAAAGCGTATAGGAGGGAGAGATGGGGGCTGTGAGAGAATAAATACCATGGATTTTTTCTCTTTCATTTCCAACCTCCTGCCAGTTGTCCATTGGCTGCCTGTGAACCCAGGCAGAAGCCAGAGAGTAAGGCACCCTAGTGGTGCACCCACATGTGAAATCAGGGCAGAGAAGAACGGAGACTCAGTCAGGGATGAAGGTGACAGCAAGTGACGACTCGACAGCATGACATCCCCTCGTTTTCTCAAATTGTTCTCTGATCTAGTTCCAGAAAGAAAATCAGATTGGCTCAGTTAACTACTCTTGTTCCACTCCGTCGTTTGTAGGTTCTGGCCAGCTTCTGGGTTGCCTACTCACACACTGCCATGCAGTTCTGGAAAGCAGAGGAAGGGTGGGGTCTCAGAGTCTGGCCTCATCCCCATTGCTGGTGGAATGCAAGCTGGTCCAGCCCCTTTGGATGGCTGCATGGCAATTTCTCAGAAAATTAGGTGTGGAAAATTATACAGCTGTTCTTGAGAATTTCAGTGCGTTTGTGAATACCTGATTAAAATTTTCTCTTTGTCTGGAAAACAAACACACACACACACAAAACAAAAACCCCAACAACAACAACAACAACAACAACAAAAATACGTTGAGTCTTCAAATTTAGTCAGTAAAAGACTGGTGTTTGGATGCCTCTTTGGAGGTTAGTATGGTGATTTCTCAGATAATTAGGAAATAACCTTCCTCAAGACCCAGTGATACCACTTTTGGGTATATATCCAAAGGATGCTCAATCGTGCCACAAGGACATGTGCTCAACTAAGTTCACAGAAGCATTTTTTGTTATAGCCAGAACCTGGAAACAATTTAAATGCCTCTCAAATGAAGAATGGATAAGGAAGATGTGGTACGTTTACACAATGGAATACTACACAACAGAGAAAAATAACGATATCTTGAAATTTGTAGGCAAATGGATGGATCTAGAAAACATCATTTTGAGTGAGGTAACCCAGACCCAGAAAGACAATATCACATGTACTCACTCATAAGTGGGTTTTAAACATAAGACAAAGAAAACCAGCCTACAAATCACAATCCCAGAGAACCTAGACAACAATGAGGACCCTAAGAGACACATACATGGATCTAATCTACATGGGAAATAGAAAAAGACAAGATCTCCTGGGTAAATTGGGAGCATGGGGACTTTGGGGGAGGATTGAAGGAGAGGGGAGAGGTAGGGAGGGGAGCAGAGAAAAGTGTAGAGCTCAATAAAAATCAATTTAAAAAAGGTAAAAGAAAAAAAAGAATGGAGTTGTATGTGTTTGACCTGGGAACCCTTTCCCACCCTTTTCTCCATCTGGTCCTCCCCATACTTCCTGACGCTGATGGGTTTGTGTGCCGGTCTTGTTCTCAGCTGACCTCCAGCTCATCCGCGTTCAGGCACTGACTGCTGGGCAGAACATCCCTAAGAATAGCACAAGACATGCCCTAGCCTAAGCTTTTTGGGGGAGAATATCAGACTGTAGTTAGTTTTACTACTCACAAACTTTTTGACTATGGAAAAATCATTTCGCCTTTCCCATTAATCACAGCTCTTGTTCTGCTTGTCCTCCTGAGATGGTTGGAAGACTTGGTAGGATGTGGCTATGCTTTGAAAAGTGTTGAATGCAATATGAAAGCAAGAGCCTGTAATTATTCCCCGTGCTCTCTGTTGCTTAGAGACGGGACCTGGGTGATTATTATCACATGGTGTTCACAATCCACAGGCGGCGTCTTTCTGCTCCCTCTCTCGAGGGAGTGATCGTATCAAACCTTGGTCACCTCCTCCTATAATATATCACCTTATATTCTAAGGTGATAGACTTTGGTTAATGAGGGAGAGCTAATTTTCTTCTAGAAGGTATGTGTGAAGGGCAGAGAGTGAGATTTTAAAAGGAATCAATAAAGCTTTCTATGGAGGTCGCATGATAGGAGTGAATTTTCATAAACAAAATCAACAGATCAGTTACTTATCAGAAAGAATAAACCTGGTTTAAAGGAACTAGTGACCTGAACTATGTGACCATAGAATAGTTTATAAGAGTTGAATGTGGCTTATTATGAACAACTATGTGATTTTAGGAAGTTCCCAAGGACTAAGTTTTTCTTTCTTCTTTCTTCCTTTCTTCTCTCCCTTCCCTTTTCTTCCCTTCCCTTCCATCCCCTTCCCCTTCCTTCCTTCCTTCCTTCTTCCCTCCCTCCCTCCCCTCTCTCTCTCTACCCCTTTATTTTTTGTTTGACAGAATCTCTCCATCATACAGTTCTGGCTGTTCTGGAACTCACTCTGTAGACCAGGCTGGCCTCAGATTCACAGAAATCCACCTGCCTCTGCCTCCCAAGTGATGGGATTAAAGGCGTGTGCCACCACACCTGTACAGTTATCATACTTTATGTTGCTAAGGGTCTCTAATTTAGTACTTCTGGATGGTATGTGAGATTTGAGTTCCAATAAGTTCTCTGATAGAATCGAGGCTGCTGGCCATGGACCCACTTGAAGGAGTAGGGAAATTGATGTGTGACAGATTCTACACAAAAGAAAGTCTAAAGTATAGTATCATAGTACCATTTAGTGGCTTCTACAGTGTGGTGTTATCACATTGGTAGCAGATGTTTGAATTTGGTGATGTAGATGTGTGGTAGAGCATCTGCCCAGCATGGGCAAGACCCTGGTTCCATCCTTAATACCAAAACAAATGAACAAATGAATGGATGGATGAATATATGAACCAACCAACAAACCAAAAATGACAGCAGAAGACAAAGTCATATTAGTTACTCTTCTATTGCTGTGATACATCATGAACCAGGCAGCTTGTGAAAGGAAGGGTTATTCGGGCTTGCACTTGAGTGTTAGGATTCATAACCGCGGGGATAGCATAGCAGCAGGTGGATGTGGGAGGTCCTTCCGTCTGTGTGTTGCTTTTATTGGTTAATGAATAAAGAACTGCTTTGAGTCTATGGCAGGGAAGAACAGAACTAGGCAGGGAAAGCTAGGCTGTATGCTGGGAGAAGGAGGGCGGAGTTAGAGAGAAGCAATGGAGCCGCCAGAGATAGATGCTGGGAACTTTAGCTGGTAAGCCACAGCCACGTGGTAATACACAGATTATTAGAAATGAGTTAAATTAATATGAGCTAGCCAATAAGAAGCTGGAGCTAATGGGCCAAGCAGTGATTTAATTAATATGGTTTCTTTGTGATTATTTTGGGGCTAAGCAGCCAGGACCTAACAAGCGGCTCCCTACTCCAACAGCAGGTGGCAGACATGATAGTTGGAGTTGGAAGCTGGAAGCTGAAGGATCACATCTTGAATCATAAACACAAGCAAAAAGAGTGAACTGTGAATAGACTTGAGACATCAATGACTTTTTTTCGGTGACATCTTTCCCCAGCAAAGACACACCTCCTAAATCTGCCCACTGGGGACAAAATATTCAAATGCTCAAGACTGCGGGGGACATCTCATTCAAAGCAACACACCCCTAAAGCCTAAAAGAAAAAGAAAGAAATACCTGTTTGTCATTTGTCTGGTGTTATGACCATCTGGCTCTGACAGCTATACCCTTCTGTCAAACTTTTTGTTCTCTCTGAATCTCAGTTTCTTTTGGTATACAAATTTGGGTTAAATCACACGATATTTAAATCCTTTGAATACTATGCTGAATTATGAAAAGCAATGTAAAGATGAAAACAGGAGTGTTGTAGAAAATATTTCCATGGCACAGGAAGATAGGGAGAAAGAATTGATCTTAGACCGCTTTTACAAGAGCCCACTGACCGGAATCAATACAGAAACCATTTTTCTCTTTGAGAAAAGTAATGGTTAATGTCATGACCTCTTCCCTGAGTATTGATCTTTTTAAAAATTGTGATTTATCACTAGAAACCTTGAGAAGACTCTCCAGGCTGTCATTTAAACAACATCAAGAGAATGGCCACTAGATATCCATCAATCCTGGATTTCAACTGTCTGTGAGGGGGATATCTCCTTCTCATCTGTCAAATCAGGGTAGGGACCTCATCTGGCAGTCAAGAGCCCTAAGGTGAATAGCGCGCTCAGAGAGGAAGACACAAGTGCCCAAGCTCTTGAAACTCTCTTGAGCGTAATGCAATGGTGCTCTCTGAGGAGTCAATAAGGACCCAAGCTAAGCACTTTCCAGTCTGAGCCATGATACCGTGGAGGGTATGGTTGACTTTCTGGGACAGTTAGGGAAAGAGGATGAACCATACTGCTAATACTACTCTTTAAAAAAAAAACAAACCTCCTTTAATAAGCAAAACTACCTCTTTGGCTTAGATACTAAACCCATTAAGAAACAGAGGCTTGGAGATTTCAGCCGCTTGTCCAAGGCAACTCAGCTGGTGAGTGGGACTCACGCCCTGGCCTGTTGACTCCAAAGCCTGTGCTGTTCCATTCTTATGCTTATTCCGGAAGGCCAAGAGGAACCAAAGGTCACCCTGGAAACCACACTTGTCCCTCAGTCTTAGGCAGTTGATCTTGGATTTAAAGGCAAGTTACCATCAAAGGGAAAGGAGAAATAAGGCATGAAGGTGAAAATTCAGCTGTGGGACTTGCTGAGTCCCACCTGACATACTTGTTGGTGCTTGGGGGGCAGAGTGTGGATCAAGAAAGAAACAGACAACACATAGAGTCCGGAGGGCGTCTAGTAAATACTGTCATCGGCCTCGCCCCCAGGGCGTCCAGTAAATACTGTCATCGGCCTCGTGATTATTTCTCATGCCTTTAAATACCTCAATCCAAAAAGGAGGGGGAAGGCAAAAGACTTCTTTACCAAGATACAAACGACAACAAAGTAATTACCTTCTGAATACCCAAAACATAAAGTAACCACAGCCTAAGTCAAAACATCCTATTAATAGCCACACCCTGGACCAAACCTCCTGTCATAACCTTAAGGAGCAAGAATAGGGCTGAACTCTCTGACCTTTACTCAAGGTGGAACAGATCCACTTTGGTGGACTTCACAGGGAACTTCGGGCTTTAACTGTGAATGGAGCCCAGAACTCTGTGTAAAGATCCTTGATGTAAAGGCGCTTCTCACTTAACAGGCACCCGTGAGCTTTTAGCTCAGTGTGAGCCGTTTCTTCTTGGTTGTGGAGGAAAACCAGTTTCTCTTGACTTAAGTCATCCCAGCGAGTTCTGGCTTCACTCCGGTCTCACGGGACACCGTGGACTTCCGACTTCAGGATTTGCTTTCCTCCATCTAACGCATCTGTGCTCATTCGTCTTCTGATCATACGGCTGAAAGTATAATCCCCCTGGAGAGTGTGGATGCGTGCCTGCCTGAGATGGATGCAGGTTAATCACAGAAGACAAGCGCTCCATTGCCCCTGGGCAGAGTCGACCCAGATTCGCTCCGCGTGATTTTCACGGTTCACTACATCAGGGTTAGGGAGAAGTCTGGACATGGAAAAGCTTTGATTCAGATTTTTAGAACCTCACAAGCAAAAGAACCTAGTTATTACCGGGCTAAGCGCTGAGATCAGGCTGAGTCCTGTTGTGTTTAAAGGTGGTGTTCCAGCCTGAGCTTACTCTGGGACTTCATTTTATAAGCAGCTTTGACTACATTTTGAGGATAGGGGATGGCTCTGGACGACAGGTAATTGGCATCACCTGACTGGTACCACCCGTATAGCACAGACTGATAAATGACTTATTTCTAGGAGCGGAAAGTGTGTCACTCTCTAAATTTATCAGGGAAAATTGGAATTGTAGGGGCATATTGTCATGGGAAAAAAGTGCCAAGGAAATCAGGTACAATAACTTAGCAGACACTGCAGACCAAGAAAAGGCAGTAACTGCCTTACCCAGACCCCACAAAGAGGAGGGCACCTAGCTGTGATATAGTGATGGCCACTACCAACCTGCCCCTTGCCCCCTGGCATCAAGAAACCTACGGCAGAGAATTCTGACTCTCCCAGGTGCTTCTGCTTGGCTTGGTTACTGTCTGTTTGAATTGCTATCTGCCAGTCTTCCTACTTGCCAGTCTGGAGCTGCTATTGGTTGGTCCTCCGACTAGTTCGTCCACACCTAGTCTTCTTCTTTGCTTCACTTTGACCCTCCAGCTTAACTCTGACCCTGCAACCCTGCTTTATGGCAGGGCTGCAGCAGCTTCCTCGGCAAAACCCCCAGTTCCCTGTGGTTCCCAATCTTAACAATATAAACTCTCTCTGTATTTCTGTCATCCTCCATAATTCTCAGGACCTCTAAAACCTCTCCAAGTCTGTGGTAGCCTCTTAACCCCTTAGAGAGCCATTCTGCAACCCCCCGCCCCAACACACACACTCGGATTTACTATGTGTTATGTCATATGTGATCTCAGCGTTATTATTAGTAATTAAGACTGGAATAAAAGAACCTGTTTGTCTTGGGCTGATTCCGATTCCCAAGGAAAGTGAAGAGTACCTGGCAAATTGCTGACATCAAAGCTATCATGCATTGTGAATTTATTGTTACTCAGTAGATTCTGACACACCAGTAAGACACAAATGTGTTTGTCTATGTTTCTGATGTAACATACTCACAACGTAAGCATTAGGGTAGGAATGGTTGTGGAAGAAAGGAAATATTTAAAAGTAGAAGATTGTGCAGAAGAGAATTTATTTACCTAGCTGAAAACCTTAAGTACAAGAAGAATGGAGAGGATGTTTGACGTGAGGATCAAGTTTAATGGCTTAAATGATAATTTATGCAACGGATCTTCAGATTGGATGCCCCTTATATGTCAGGTACAATGGTAGGTGGTTATTAGTCAGCAATTCCTGCCAAGCTGAAACAACCCAGCTTGGTGAGAGGCTGGTTAAGGCTCAGGAAATACTAAGTTAAAATATTCCACCGAAGGGAGGCTTGTTAAAACTCAGGAAGGAAACAACTCAGAAGTCACAGGAAGCCCCTAAAACTACCCATTCACAAGGCCCCCTTCTTCCCCAAGGCTATGTAAGTGCTAAGAACTGGGGAGAAAAGACTCTCAGGCCTGTTGAGCTGCCATGGTGACTCACAGCCATCTTCAATGAGATCTGTTGTCCTCTTCTGGCATGCAGGCATACACGGAGGCAGAACGTTGCATACATAATAAATAAATATCTTAAAAGAAATATTTGTCAATATTTTTAGGACTTGGTATAGTAGGTGAAGAAGGAAAAAGGATCCAGAAGTGTCTGCATTTTTTACTGGGGCACAAGTAAGGACAAACTGTTCTCTATTGAGATTTACAATATAGAGGGTAGGAAAGTAAGTTTAATCAATTCACTTAGTCCAACTGTAACATCTAGCTGTTGGTCAAATACTCATATGCATATTTCTGGGAAGGAGTAGCCTGTCCCCCTTTCTATTGATGAATGTTTTCCCTTTGAAGCAGGGTCTCACTGTGGAGCTCCACTGGCCTGGAACTCTCTATGGAGATCAGTACACAGAGATCCTCCTCTCTGTACCTCCCAAGTCCAGTGATCAAGAGGCTTGTGCCTCTATGCTGGCCCTTGCCCAGGGCCATTCATTAGCATATTAATTATATATGACAGGGGTTTCATTATGACATACACATATATTTTTAAACATTCGTATCTTTTTACCCTACTGTCCCTCTCCACTATCATCAACTCATTTCCTTTGTCCCAACTTGTCCCCCTTCTGTTTTCATGCATTCTTTGTTGGAGTTTTGGCTTTTGACTGAACAGGTTTCTTTAGGGTAGCTTATAGGAGTGAATGAGAGATTATTTGCAGGAATACGGGCAATTTACTAGAGGCCACACCATGAAAGAAAAGACTCAAGCACTAACTGCTTGTGGATCTTTAGAAAGAAGTGAGATCTTGTGTGTCCCTTCAAGGGAAGATACTTTGTAGATGTGAATAGCATTTAATTTGGTAGATTTAGAGTACAGGTTGCCCTTTGCAGTATGAGAAACTCATCTAATCTGTCGGAGGCCATGAGGAAAACAAAGAAACAGGATGTCTGCCTTCCCATCCCTTTCTTAAGTATTTTCCAACCACCTTCCAACGATCACTTAAGTTGGGTGCGTCAATTCTATTCTGGTGTCCAGCCTACTGGTCTCACGCATTCTTTAAAATACATCTCTTTATGGGTATTCATTGGGAGGGCGTGTTCTTGTCCAAGCTTGCACTTCAGAGTTCCTTTTGCTGAAGCAAGAGTTCAGGGTGTTTGTTTGTTTGTTTTAGAGTTTCTTTCAGGCAACGAGGAAGCATGCTCCTGTTCACTGCCATGACTAACTGAAGAATGGGCCAAAGAGACCCATACAAAGGCCTGCCCGGTGCTTTGAGAAGAAAGCATAGACCTTACCCGTGTCATAAGTTGCCGAGGCAGACAGGGCACTATTATGGTGAGCAAATGTGCAAATGTACAGTGGGATGGAGGGAGGAGAGAGAGAGAGAGAGAGAGAGAGAGAGAGAGAGAGAGAGACTCATTTCCTGTAGACAGAGGCATATCTGAAGAGCTGAAAGCAGAGGGGATGGGGCTGTACAGAGTTAGCCCCACCACCACTGACTACTCTACTAGGAAGAACTCGTCTTGAGGCACTCGGGAGAGAAGGGTCCCACACCTCACCTGGGCAGGACAATAGCTGATCCTGTCGGGAGGGGACATGGGCAAGCTAGTCCTACTGGTGTGAGACTGAAAGAGCGAGTCATATCCCTCTCATTTGTCATGTGCTGGTGTCACTTAACACCTGCAGCACGTGGGGGACCTGACCCAACCCCTCACCAGCTGCAGCGCTCAGGAGAATGGGCCCTGGGCCTCTCCTGGGCGGCCCAGTAGAGTTGACCCTGTAGACAGGGCGTGGGCAAGCCTGCGCTGAGGAGTGAGAGGGATATAGCTGGTGCCTGCCTCCCTCATCTGTGGTGTGGTGCTGGAGGTGAGGGAACGTTGATGTCCCCCGTTGCCCCTAATGTCTCCAGCTAGCGAAGAAGCTGGCCCTCCCCTTTTCCAGGGCAACACTCTGGAAAGCAGGTCCTGCCTGGGCAGCATAATGGAGCTGACCTTGTTGAAGGGGGCGCAGGAGAACAAAAGCAGGGGAGATCTGGCCCCATTCCTTATCTGCCAAGGGTGGCATTGGCAGGAGAGATATCCCTCTCCTACCCCCAATGCCTGAGGCAGGTGGAAGAGCTGCCTTGCCCCTTGCCAGCTGCAGCCCTCGGGAGAGCAGGCCCTGTATCTCACCTGAGCAGCACAATAGAGCCAACCATGTTGACAGAGAGGTAGCACAAATTCTAATAGGTATTAATAATAAAAACCCAGAGTTAGATATTAGGGGTGAAAACTGAGAGATCAGAGAAGCAGTTCAGTCAGTCACTAGAGAGACCTTGGACCTCCACCAAATCCTCAGGCTGAAAGGGCGATCCTGTCCTCAGGTTGCATGCACAGACTGCACCTCAGAGAGCATTCTCAGTCTGCAACTGTCTCCCCCACACCTCAGACTACATCTGAGCTCCTCTCTCCTCCTGCTTTATAGTCTTTCCTGTCTCCACCTCCCTTGCACTGGGATTAAAGGCGTGGGACTCCCAAGTACTGAGATTAAAGGTATAAGTCACCACCGGTCTGGCTATTAGCTCTGTGCTCTGATCTTCAAGCAAGCTTTACTTGTTAAAACACAAACAATATGTCACTGCACGGAAGTGTGGGTCAGCCAGCTTCGAAGCTGTGAGCATGGGAGAGCAAGCAGCAGTGTGAGCCTGGGAGAGATGCGCCTTACGCTTTGCCCCATCTCTGACCTGCCCCTTCACCAGCTGCAGCACTCAGGAAAGCGGACCCTGCTCCTCCCTTCCTCAGCAGGGTAGAGCTGATCCTGTCGGCAGAGGATCAGGTGAGCGCCCCCCGAGGGTCTGAGAGAGGAATAACTGGCCACACCTCCTTTATCTGCCATGTGTTGGTGAGGGTGAGGAAAAGATGCCCTCCCCCCACCCACATCTGAGGTGGACGAGGGCGCTGACCCTGCCCCTTGCCAGCTTCAGCACTCAGGAAAGTAGAGAAAGAGACTTCTTATTAGTTACGAATGCTTAACTTTATCTTATGTTCATTTCTTGCTAGCTCTTCTAACTTAAATCAACCTGTTTCTCTTCATCTACATTTTTGCCTTGGAGCTTTTTTCCTTTCTTTCCTTCTGAATGGCCCACTTTCTCTGCTTGCTCTGTGTCTGGCTGACTGTGGCTGGTTAGCCCCAGGCCGCTCTCTCTCTTTCTCTCTTGTTCTTTTCTCTCTTCTTCTCTCTCCTCCTACTTATTCTTTTTGCCTGCCAGCCCCACCTACACTGTACTGCCTAGCTATTGGTCGTTCGGTTTTTTTATTAGACCAATCAGGTACCTTAGGCAGACAAGGTGAAACAGCAGTGGATCTTTACATAATTAAGCAAAGGCAGCATAAACAAAAGCAGCACACCTTTACATAATTCAAGCAATATCCTGCAACATAAACAAATGTAACACATATTTGCCTAGTTAAAGTAATATTCCACAACACCTACACCTTGCCTGAGCTACACAGTAGAGCTGGCCCTGAATGTGTGTGTGGGGGAGAGCGACACCCCCCTCCCACAAGGACATAAAAGCCAAAGAACTGGCCCCGCCCCTTGCTCTTGACTGCAAGGGGTGAACTAGCAAGTGCAGTGCAGGAGAGATCACCCTGGTGGTGAAGACAGGGGAGAGCTGACTGACTGACCAATCCTGCAACTACCCAGGTCCGGGACTGTGAGTTGGCCTACCCCAACATCCATCCCATCTGTGATCTTTTGGAGCACATGAAGGGGCTGGTCCTACACACCCCAAACTGTAGGATCTTCATGACGCAGGGCAACAACAGGATAACGGAGAGGAGTACAAATGAGGGCCCCGCACCAGCAGTGCAGCAGAAACCGGAGGCTGAACCAAACCGATGACTCTTTGCAATGAACACTTGCACATAAAGATATATGGACAAAAGGGTTTGCTGCGTGACTCACTGCGTCACACTGCCGCTTCCAGGAGGTTTTTCCTTTTTATCCCTTCCTCTTTTTCCTCTATCAAATGTTATTTTATTTTACTTTTTTCGGGGGGAGGAGGTTGCAAGGGCAGAGGGCAGACATGAAGGGACAAAAAATAAATGGGATTGAGATGCATGATGTGAAAGACACAAAGAATAAATAAAAAAAGGTTACAGAAAGAGTTTCTTTTAGCTGTTTATGCCCGGAGGGGTTGTGGTCCAATACCAAGGTTATTATTCATGCTTTCGAATTGTTGAACTATTTCCCCGCTAGGCTTGCACTGTATGTCAGGGAAAGTGAGATATACTTGTGTAATTCTTACCAGTAATAAAATTCATCACATGAGTGCGTGTCTGTGTGTGTGGTGTTGGAAATGTGTCTAGGAAACGTGCCTCATGAGACAGGCATGGAAGGACCCAAGTTCAGGGCTGCGGTGTCATTTCTTCTGAGGAGGGTGGGAGTTTCCGCAGTAGCAATTGGACCCTGGGAAGTTAGAGGAGCCTGTCCTGCAGAACCAGTGGAAGAGAAGCCAGAGAGCTTAGCACAATTTCTCAAAGTTTTACTGCTTTTTTTTGTTGTTGTTGTTGGTTCATTTCCTCAAGACAAAGCCTTCTTATTAGACAGATACAAGTCTTCTATCTACTGTCGTTGTGACTTTGGGCAGGAAATCTCATCTGCCTCTTCTGCACATAGAAACACCAGTGAGGTTTTTCTAGGGACTCATGACATTACTTATAAAGTACCTTGTCCACGATGGTCATGGAAGCCATATTTATGATTCTTTTTTTTTTAAAAAATATTTATTTATTTATTATGTATACAACATTCTGTCTGCGTGTATGCCTGAAGGCCAGAAGAGGGCACCAGATCTCATTACAGATGGTTGTGAGCCATCATGTGGTTGCTGGGAATTGAACTCAGGACCTTTGGAAGAGCAGGCAATGCTCTTAACCGCTGAGCCATTTCTCCAGCCCCATATTTATGATTCTTAAGATGTATTTGTTCTCACCTACACTTCCAGTTTGTAGATTCCGCAGGATGAATACAGTACTAGTGTTCTGTTTATTGAGAGTCACGACAATTTCTCTTCACTAAATTGAGTTTCCTTAATATCTTAAAAAACGATATCTAATAGTTAGATATCAAATATTTAGATCTAAATTTAAAACCTAAAATAATATCTAAAAAGAATGACGGGCACTGACAGAAAGGAGACATAGCATGTTTGTGATTAAGTAATTCTAGCTGAAGAATAAATCTTATTTAATGATGGTCAACACGTCTCCAATGGAGTTTATCTCTCTCTTCCCTTCCTCCATTCAGACAGCTCTACTTGTTTTCTAAAACCCAGGTTAACACCATCGTGTAAAGGAGTCTCTTCTGTCTGTGAACAGGTCTTCCTTGATAACATCAGCACCATCACGACCGCTGAAGGACATCTGAAGGACATCTGAAGGACATCTGAAGGACATCTCTGGGAGCAGTAGTCACGTTTCACCTGTCGCTCTGGCTCGTGACTCTAGAGTTGTCTGGTAGGTGACACTTTTTCTTTATTGTGGTCTGTATGACATTGCAGGTAGTCATTGTTTCTTTTCTTCATATCCTTTTGTATCAAGAGTTTTGAATTTTTGAATTGATTTTTTTACATATAGTGCCTACCATAGTCCTTAAACATTGTCAAGGGAATGAGCAGGTGGATGGATGAATAAAAACAGGCCGCGAATAAAATCACAACCTTGTGACTAAATGTTTTTCTCTCATCAACTGCTCGTTTTTTTGTCACACCTCCATCTTTCCTAAATACTGAAAGTGGCATCGCTTACCATGTAAGTGTTGAACTTGAGACACTTCTGAATTCCGCAACTGCATCTTCAGGCTGTGTTTGTTAGAGTCGTAGCATAGCCAACAAGGCAGACAACAAGAAGACTTTGCCTTCTTCTTAGCGTTTTTCATAAGTTGTCTGATAGGCTCACTAAGCCAGGGTTGCAAATTTAGAGATGAGTCGGTAATATCTCGACTTCCTGTTGAGTGGAGATTATTCGTTGCATCCTTTCTATCAGAGCGCCCACGTAGTTTTTATAGGGTAGCCTATAGCTTTAACCCTCTCCCTACTGGCAGCTCCTATGCGGGCATGTGACTAGCAGAAGGTAACCTTTGTTCAGTCTGTTCTCTCTACTTTGCGTAGATGCAGAGTCTCTCTTGTTTCTGCCATCGTACTGTGCATCTGAGCTTCTGGCTGATTTGTCTGTCTCTGCTTCCCATATTGCCTGTAACTGGGGTGACAGATGTGTGCCAGCACATCTGGCTTTTTACATAGGTTCCAGAGATCACACGTAGGTCATCAGGTGTGCAGCAAGGACTTGCATCTCCCAGTTCTTTAGTTTTCTCTTTACTAGTTTTTTTTTTCCTTAGCTATTCCCCCACAATGGACCCACATTATTTATCCATTACTCTCTAATTGGAACACTGGCACTGTTTTACCAGCTTTCAGATTTACGCTGACAAATCAAGAAAGAAAATGCCCACGCCATACCAGACTAGATGCTTCAAGTCCTCCAGGGACGCTTCTGTATTTATTGGACATCATTCATTCAACAGCTGCCATTTTAACGAAGTCCTTCCTGGGTGCTGAGGATGTCGGGAGCAAAGAGATAAAGCCCACAGTATGGATCTTCTGTGTCAACTTTAGGTGGGCCACAGTGTCCACATATTTGATCAAACACTACTTTGGGTATTTCGGTGAAAGTGTTTCTTGACATAATTTATCTTTAAATAAATGGACTTTGGGTAAAACAGGTTATCCTCTGTAATGTGAGTGGATCTCTTATACAAGGTGATGGCCTGAAGAGAGTGAAGGAAGGCTGCCAGCAGATAGCCTCAGGGTGGGAATGTTCCAAGACCAGCCTGCTGGGCTTCATTGGCAGATCTTAGATTCCGAGACTCTCCACAACGGTGTGAGCGGTTGCTTGAATAAATGAGTGCGCACACACACACACACACGCACACACACACACAGTACCTGACATGGCAGCTTGATTTACAATTTCTCAGCCCTGTGATGATCTTGAGGAGATCCACATACAGTTCAGATGGACTTTGAACTTTGCTCCTTTCCCAGGCTACTGATATATACCACACTATTCTCACTGTTGTCCAAGTGTGTGTGGCTGCCATACATACTGTTACTTACACAGTCATAAGGGTAAGCAACCAATACAGTGTCCTGAGCATGCTGGAAAACGAATTACATTGCTAAGCTATGCGATTTGGAAGGCGAGGTGTGTTAAATTCACTTTGATTTACAGTATTTTCATTTCTAACAGGTTTATTGGGATATAGCCCCATCATAAGTTGAGGACCACCTCCTTGTCTTCTTGGTTTCATTTTGGGAAAGCTCCGTTCTCAGCATCTCAGGGCCCTGCAAACAGACATGCAAACAATTAGAATCCAGTAGGGAAATTGCCCTCAGTGGCAAGTTTACATCCATCTTCCTTCGCCAGAGGGGAATATGTCCTAAGAGCCAGTAGACGCCAGAAACCAGAGAGTACCAAACTCTAAGCTTGCTTATCTCTAAAATGTTTAATATGAAAATTAGGCATAGTAACAGGTTATCAGCAACAGTAATAAAACAATTATAATAGACTGTAATAAAAACTATACAAATACCTCTATCTTTCAAAATGTTTTATTGGACTTATATCTTTTCACCAAAAGGAGGCGCTTTTTAACATCAGCTCAGTAGAACTGAGTTAGCAGCGTGACCGCTCCTGCCCTTGGGGGCTGTTGCTAAGTAAGATAGGGATGTTTGAACACAAGCACTGTGCTCAGATCACTACTATGCAGATGAGGGGGAGGGAGTATATTCAGAGTGGTGTGCTAGATAAAGTGATGATCACTCCTGGGTGTGACAAAGCGCTACAGTGTTACCATGTTTGAGAGAGCGCAGTTTAAAACTAGTGAATGAGTTTTTTCCCTGCAATTTTCCGTTTAGTATTTTCAGATTGTGGTTGAATGTGGTCAGCTAGAACTGTAGACCTGTGGATAAGGAGGGACTACGTAAAGTGTGGTTAGGGACTGGGACGGTGACTCAGAGGGTCAAGGTGCTTACTGTCAGCCTTGACGACCTTAGCTGGATTCCCAAGTCCCACATAGGGGAAAGAGAGAACCTAGTCTTATGAATTGTCTTTTGATGTCCAGATTCTCTCTCTCTCTCTCTCTCTCTCTCTCTCTCTCTCTCTCTCTCTCTCTC